AAGAGAAAAGAACTTGCAGCACTTTGGCCTTATTCTAGAATTTTGTTATGATCTTGGGGAAAAGTTTTTGCCAAGGAATTACTGAAAATTACCATTCCTCCTCCTTTTCTCTCTTATTCTGGAAGACAGAGATTAATGTTAAAGTTACAAATGAACAGTGACCCATGGGAGTCATCGTGTGTGAGTCCATTGTCTGTCCAATCCAACACTGTCTCTTTTGAGGATATTGGACATGGAACATCTTCTGATTCAGCTGCACAAAGCATGTACAAACATAAAGTTGTTGAAACCATAACTTGCCTTTATCAGACCTTTGAAAAGCACGACCACTTATAAATGGAGTTTTGTTTGTATGTCTTCTGTTGGCCTAGTTAGGGCTATTTTAGAAAATTATGGCAGATTTCCAAATCAATGTGATACTAGATATATTAAATTCTGATATTATATTTTTTTTACTTTTGTGTTATTTTTTTTTAACTCACCAGAACCAGTAAATATCAGCAGCATGTGAGGTAAAAATGTCAGCTGAATGAAATCAGAGCATAATAAAGGTTAATTCATCAAATTAAAAACTTGATAATTCTATTTAAAAACTTGATATTCTTGATAATTTTAAGAATAAAAGTCTTTCATAAGCTTCAATGTTTTTGTTATTAATATATTTATTTTGAGCTATCGAATAAATAATTTTAAATAAATAAGTAGTTTCTACTTAAAAGGTATAAATACCACACAGTTTGTTTCTTTACCACAATATATTGTAACTATTGTTAGTTAATAAGGAATAAGTTGCTCATTGAGCAACTTTCCAATGCTTTAACTTCAGAGAATGTTCTCTTTCTTAATGAGGACTGCATAGTTTTCTTCCTACCCATCCTCGTCATTTTTTTTTTTTTTTTTTTTAATTAGCCTCCGAGGTGAGCGGCGGAGAGTTTCTTGAGAAAGCTCTGTGCTAACCGTGGTTTTTTTTTTTTTTTTTGATAAAGAAAAATATCCTGGCCGGGCGTGGTGGCTCACACCTGTAATCCTAGCACTCTGGGAGGCCAAGGCTTGTGGATTGCTCGAGGTCAGGAGTTCAAAACCAGCCTGAGTGAGACCCCGTTTCTACTAAAAATAGAAAGAAATTATTGACCAACTAAAAATATACATACAAAAAATTAGCCAGGCATGGTGGCGCATGCCTGTAGTCCCAGCTACTCGGGAGGCTGAGGCAGCAGGATTGCTTGAGCCCAGGAGATTGAGGCTGCTGTGAGCTAGGCTGATGCCACAGCACTCACTCTAGCCTGGGCAACAAAGTGAGACTCTGTCTCTAAAAAAATTAAAAAATAAAAAATACAAAGAAAAATATCCTAACTGAAAGAATTTTGTAAAATATAAAGTGATACATATTGAATCACTAGTACACTGTAGCAGAATTATGCATTCTGCAGTACAGTTGGAAGCAGCCATAAAGATAACAATTAATATGTCTAATATGCTATCATAAAATGCTGAATTATGGAAGAATTTCATGATTCTGCTTATAATAAAGTGATATTTATTGAAAACTTAGCATATGATTTAAAACAAGAAATCTTAAGTGCTAGGCAGCATATCATAAATTTCTAATATAAATACAACGTTCACGTTTATGAAAAACAGGTAGATATCAAAACATGGTTTTACAATGCCCTGATGCCAGAGCTTCCCAATATGTCCTGTCTGGATGATAGATTGGTAGAACAGAGTGAAATGAAAGAGGAACAGAGATTCTCATTTTCTCCCAGGTGCCTGATCCTGGTCTTTTCCAAGAATTTCCAAAGTATGTTTGCTCCACAACTAAGTCCAAATGTAACCTGATTTACACCTTATCCTTATGTTCATTATGCTTTTACCCTACTTTGATTATTGAGTGTTTTTAAAATCAAATTAGCTTTGATGCCTATTTCACAAGTGATAATATTATATTTTATTAGTACTGAATGACCTTCACAAGAAAAAAAATCTGAACCAAACTATAGCAATTTTGTTCCAAACATTGCACTACAAATTACTTCTAAATAGCTGAATCACTCCTAACAATGTATGTGATATTTTTATTTTAAGGTTTGTTGTCAAATCATAAACTCTTAAAATACCTTGCCAAAGCCTCAAAAAGTCTTTAATTTCAAAGAAAGTAAGAGGTAAGAAATCTGCCATTAGATGCCACCAAACTTGGAATTTCACAATGATTTAATCAATTTATTGTTTAAAAGTATATTCTGGTATTCAGTTTTCTAAATTATAATAAGTACACTTTTAAATTCTAAAAAGCTAAGAGAACTTTGCTATTTCAAACCAAATCATTCTGAAATTGTACCTTTATATTCTTTGCTATATTCTATAGCATCACTGTCAGAACGTTCATAAATCATTAAAATGTTTTTTCGTTTTTCCAGAATGTCTGTGGCTGTTGTTCCGTGGAACATGGCTATGGTACCTGAGGAACATATTTTTAAAATTAGTTTAATTTTAATTTTTAACTTTAAATAGTCACATGTGACTAGCTCCTGTTGTATTGGACAGTGCAATACTAGAAGCTGCACTAGAGTACTTCCATGCTCATTCCCCCCAAGTCTACTCTTCCCCCTGCTCAACACCCCAAGATACTTTTAAAAGTTTTCTTTATTGGGATATTAAACGTTAGATCTTGTTGTTTAAAATAAATCCTACATTTTCAGGAACATAACCTGAACATTATTCAAATAAAGAATACATTTGAACTGACATTTCTAAGAAAATACTGTTAGCGAGTACTCTCTCTTCTATACAGCAAATTCCTTGCTGATCCCAGATTTAAAAGCTAATTTATTTCAAGAGAAAATGAATACCATTTTTTGTCTTCCCTTCTCCAGATGTAAAGACTCATCAAAATCCCTAGTCAATAGTTTTATATTTTAAATGACTTCTGATTGAATTACTTATCCTTTTAACTATCTACAGGTGCCTACGAAATAACCTCTTAACCTATAAGTAAATTAAACATGTGTTCTAGAAATTCCTGAGAACACTAACCTTTTTTTGGCATTTCCCCTCAGGAGTTCTTAGTCAGGTAGGGACCATTTCACTGTTAGTCGGGGCAATATTAGAAGCCAACACATTCCAGAAAAGTAGTGATTATGGCTAATGGAAGTAAACACTTTGGAAATATTCTCTCAAATTTAAGAAAAGTTAAGAAAATTTTGGTAACTTAATTGCTTGGCCATTTAAACTCAGATATAAACTTCTGAAGAAGCTAATGTTGAAGTTTCTATAAGACTTCAAGAAAAATCATCCATAATTTCAGTTCTGGTTGATTATTGTTTAAAAAAAATTAAAGGCTGTGATTTAGAGTTATATCTACTAATACTGTTCTTCTGAATCACTGTTACTAATTAGCCAGTAATTTGCTAATTAGTTTTTGCCAGTCATATTTTAAAAATAAATATTACATATTCCATATATTTTAATAGTAATGATGATGATTTATTGAGAACTTATATGCTGTAGCATATATATTGAGTGTTGCTCCAAATGTTTTACATACTAACTCATTTATTACTAAAGTGACATTAAGATATGTATGATAACTTTAGCCCCATTTTACAGACGGGGAAGATGAGGCACAGAGAATTTAACTGGGTTGTCTATGGCCTTATAGCTAGTACATGACAATAGCAGGAGTCAAATTCAGGAAGTTGGCTCCTTCTTCAGTTGACACTCTTTTAAAGTAGAGTGTTTCAAACTATTATGTGCATATCAATTGCATTTTAAGATGCAGATACTTATTCAGTAGATCTAACATATGGTTTCAGATTATACAATTCCTTTTTTTAGTTTAAAAAATGTATATATTTAAGATGTACAATTTGATTTGGTATATGTATACATTGTGAAATAAGGACCACAATTAAGCTAATTAACATATCCATTGCCTCACATAGTTACCGTGTTTTTGGTGCAGTGAAAACACTTAGGATCTACCCTCTTAGCCAACTTCAAATACATAGAGCAGTATTGTCATCGACAGTTACCACATTGTATATTAGATACGATCTCCAGATTATTCATCTTGCACAACTAGAGCTTTGTACTCCTTTTCCAGGTGATGTCAATGCTGCAGTCAGTGAACCAAACTTTCAGAAGCAATTCAGGTTAACACAAATAAGAAAACTAATAAAAACTTGGATTTAGTATTGCTAAGGGCTCTCAGTCTATATTCCACTTATACTTTTAAAGCAGATGTTATCAAGGTTTTTCTACAAAGTGCCAATTGTTGAGTAAAACTATGTAAACAATCTGGAGTGGTTATATGCCAATTAAACTTTGCTTACAAGAATAGGCAGCAGCTAAATGTGGTCCACTGGCTGCAGTTTTTCAACACCAGTTATAAAGCACGAAGGTAAGGAAATAAGAGAAAGCCTATTTAAATATGCATTTGAATACAGACACCAAAAAAGTCAAATTATTTGTCAGAGATCATTAATCAGTTTATGACTCATTCTTTAGAACCAGTTCAAATTCAACTTTTTTCCAGGAAGTCTTCTTTGAATAATTAGAACTTAATTTTTAAAAAATGCTTAATTTCATGTATGCTTCCTATGAGTTTCAAAATTAATGAGTACCTTAAAATACAGTAGATAATAAATTTAAAAATAAAAACAAATTATATCTAAGTTAAGAGACCAAGTGTCATACATTAGGTAGTATTTTGAAGCTAACCATGAAGTCTAGACAGGGTTTTGACAGGTGGAATGAGGAAATTCAAAGGGTGAGGGATCAGACCAAAGCAAATGTATAATATGTGAAAAGTTATAGACTTCTGGTTTCCGGCCCAGCATGTAAAATTCTTAGAAGTCTTCACTGGGTCCTAACAAGTAAAAACTCAAAAACCTGAAACATCAAAAACTCTTCTTAGATTCATCAGAGAAGTGAGATCACAGGGAAAACTATTGCCCCAACAATCGGAGAAACAGACAGATGGATATAGAAAAACAACTTACTAGAGCAGAAATCCATTAGCAGAATCTTTGTGGCAGTCAGTGTTGGGTTAGGAAAATGTGAACTGCAGCTGATGCATTGCTGGAGGCTCAGAGTGGACAAGTCTGAGAGTTAAAAAAATCCAGGAGGAACATCACACTCTTGCAACTTTTACCTGTAGGAAGTCTATGGGTCTTTGCAGTGAATATTAGACAAAAAGAGAGAGAGAGAGAGAGAGAGAGAGAGAGAGAGAGAGAGAGAGAGAGAGAGAAAAGAAAAAAATCCCTTTATCCTTCTGGCAAGGGGAGGGGAACAGAAAACATTTTGAGATACATCAGAGCATTCTGTTCTTTTTAACAAGCCTTGCCCTAGGAGAAACAAATTAACCAGTGCCTAATCTGCTGGAGTGAGTGTATCAGAGCCTAATCAATCTGGGGGTAGGGAAGTACCCAACCTCAGCCCCCTCCAGTCACTTTGTCTCCCCTGATGGGGGTGGGAAGGAGATTGATAAAAGTTCACAGTTCAGGGGCATAGGATCACCAAAAGACTGAGACCTAATCATAAGACTATAAGAACACTTCACTTCCCATGTACCTGTCTTACTACTACATTACCACAGGCCTATTTAAAGCTGCTCTTTTACCTGGTACAACATATCCACCTTTCAACAAGGTGTACTTAAAAAATTACAGGTCATATTAAAAGGCAAAAAAACCCCAAAAAACCCAGAAACAAACAAACAAAAACCCCACACTGTATAAAGAGACTAAATAAGCATCAGAACCATAGTCAGATATGGCAGGAATGTTTAATTATCAAACCAGGAATTTTAAAAAAAACATAGTTGTTATGATTCATATGTTAAGGGATATAATAGAAAATGTAGAAAAATGTAAAAACAGATGAATAATATAAGCGACAAGATAGAAGTTTTAAGAAGGAATCAAAAAGAAATGCTAGAGATAATAAATACTGTAACAGAAATGAAGAATCCCTTTTATAAGCTCATAAGTATTCTAGGCATGATTGAGTAAATAATCCCTGAGCTTGAGAATATGACAATAAAAACTTCCAAAACTGAAAAGCAGCAGCAACAAAGACTGAAACAACCAGAACAGAATATCCAAGAACTATGGCACAACCATAAGAGATATAATATATGGATAATGGGAATACCAGAGGTGAAGAAAAAGAGAAAGGAGAAGAGGCAATATAGAGGCAATAAGGACTGAGAAGTTTCCCAAGTTAATGTCAGATACCAAACCACAGATCCAGGAAGCTCAGAGAATACCAAGCAGGATAAATGCCCCAAAACATGCATTATATTAGGCATATAATATAAAATCTTCAGAAAATCAAAGATAAATAAAAAATCTTGGAAGGCACCAGGGGAAAAAGACATCTTACCTACAGAGAAGCAAAGATAAGAACTACATCGGATTTCTTCTTTGAAACCATGCAAACAAGAAGAAAATTGTTGAGAGAAAAAAACCCAACAAACTAGAATTTGGTAACTTATGAAGTTATTTTTCAAAAATAAAAAAGAAGTAAAGATTCTCTCAAACAAAAACTGAAGGAATTTATTGTCAATAGGCTTGCCTGCAACAAATGTTCAAAGAAGTTCTTCAGAGAGCAAGAAAAATTATATGGATCCGAAACTTGAATTATCATAAAAAGGAGGAGCACCAGAGAATGAATAAGTAAAGGTAAAACACAAAGTTTTTATTTTCTTAGTTGATCTAACAGATAACTGTTCAAAATAATAATAGCAAAAATGTATTCAGTTATGTATATATATGCTTATGTATAAGTAAAATAATATAAGGACAGAAGGAAGGAATTAGTAACATTTTGTTATTATAAGATACTTGTACTACCTCTGAAGTAGTATAATTTGAAAGTAGATTTGTTTAATTGTAAATGTATATTACGAATGCTAGGGTAATGACCCAAAAAGTAAAAATTATATGTAGATAATTGATATGCTAAGAAAGAAGAGAAAAATGGAATCATATAAAGAGCTCAAGTTAAGCTTTAAAAGACACAAAAAGTGTAAAAGATAAAAATATAAAAAAGAGTAAAGGAAACAATAGACAACATAACAAATATGGTAGATATTAAATCACTATATCAATATTAATCTTAAACAGCAATGATCTAAATACAAAAATTAAACCACAGATCTTCAGAGTAGATGGAAAAACTAGATACAACTACATGTTGTGTATTAGAAACACATTTTAACTATAAAGACATATACACATTAAACATAAATCAGTGGAGAAAATATACCATGAAAAGTATACCAAGAGAATGAGGTTTTTCTCTCTCAGGCTACAGAGAGAAAATATTTCCATAAGATATATCTGATAAAGACTGTTATCCAAAATATACAAAAGTACTTCTCAATAATCAACTAGACAATGAATAATCCAATTTAAAAGTGAGCAAAAGACCTGAACAGCCAACTCACTGGAGAAGATACACAAATGGCAAGAAAACATATAAAAGTTGTTCAAGATATCATGTTGTCATGGAATTGCAAATCAAAACAATAAGGAGATGCCACCACACACATAATAAAATGGCCAATATTCAAAACATTGAGAACACCATATGCTGATGAGGATGTGGACCGACAGGAATTCTCATTCATTGCTGATGGGAATCCAGCACTGTACAGTTGCTTTGAAATACAGTTTGGTAGTTTCATATAAAACTAAACATACTCTTGTTATACAATCCAGCAGTCACACTACTTGGTATCTATTTAAATAAATGAAAAATTTATGTCTACACAAATTCCTGCAGAGGGATATTTCTAGGTGCTTCCTTCACAGCTGCCAAAACCTGGAAGCAACCAAGATGTCCTTTAATAGGTGATTGGATAAGCAAAGCAAATTGTGGTGCTTCCAGACAATAGAATATTATGCAGTAATTGAAAAATGAGCTATCGAGCCATGAAAAGACATGGAGAAAACTTAAATTCATATTACTAAGTGAAAGATGTGTATCTGAAAATGTTGCTGGATGCACACTATATGATTCAACCATATGACATTCTGGAAAACTGAAAAAGCTATGGAGGTAATAAGAAGATCAGTGGCGGCCAGGGTTTGGAGAGAAGGAGGGATGAATAGGCAAAGCTCAGAGGATTGTAAGGCAGTGAAACTACCTGTATGATGCTATAATGGGTGACATTTGTCATTGTGCATTTTCAAAACCAAGAGCATGTACAACACCACGAGTGAACACTAATGTAAACTAGGGACTTTGGGTGACAATGACGTGTCCATGCAGCTTCGTAGAGTGTAACAAATGTAACACTGTGGTGATAGATGTCAACGATGGGGAAATTGTACATGAGTGGGGACACAGTGCACACTTGAATAGGTGAGAGAGCTTTACAGTTTGAGGTTGTTACTGTCCTGTAAGAAAACAATCCCAGTTTAATTTTTAGATGATGGCGAAGAAAGGAAGATTGTCAGTAAATACTATGGTTCTAAGAAGTTCAGAGCACATACAGCGCTGGACTCTTTGGCTTGGAAACCTCAGAGAAGTAATAGGAGGGAGATGGCTCTTGGAGGCTAGATCACTAACAGAAACATCACTCGAATCCTGTGGAGAGAGAATGGTGATTGAATAGTGGTTGTGTGATATATATGTGGGAAATGGTACTTAACAACTGGGTAACGATGATGAGAGGAAAAGTTTTCAGGTTGAGAAAAAGCTTTCAGTTTGGGTCTGTTTGTTTCCTTGACATAGTCCTGTGTATAATTTAGCTGTGTTGAGCTGATTTGACTCCATCAAAATGAAAAGTTTCTGTTTAATTAAGAATGCCATAGACAAAGTTAAAAGATGAGTGTTAGATGGGGTAAATATATTCAAACATGAAAAGCCAACAAGGGGTAACATATATTATATATGGAACTCTTTTAAATTGATAAGGAATACCATAGAAAAGTAGGCAAAGAATATAAATAGACAATTCAGAGAAGGGGAAGTCTGAAAGACCACTGCATATATGTGTTCAACCTCACTAATAGCCAGAAAGAAAAAGAAAAACAGTAAATTCACACAATGGGGAGATACCAGTTTACTTAGCACTGAAGACAATTAGAAAACTGGATATTAGTAAATGTGGTAATTATGTGGAAAATGAGGACCCTCAAGCAATACTGGAATATCTGCAGATGTAACCACCCTAGAAAGCAGTAAAATAAAGTTTTCATTTCTCCTATGATTCAGCAATCCCACCCTTTGGCTATTCTTGCCACTACACTCACTGGGGAACCTAGCTAAGATTCACACAGTGACCCTTAAGCACGATGGCCCTTAAGCTTATGTGTGGTAGCAAAGCATTGGAAACAACCTGGGTATTTTTATATATATATATATATATATATAATATAACACATGCATAATACATGCTGGAGAGTAACTGAATTGATTTTTATACTTATCCATATTGTTATAGATAGAAAAATAGATAGATGTCAAAAATAAACACTGGGTAAAAAAGAGTAAATAACATTGATAATCCTAAACTATATGTGTGAACGTCAAACACACAGATATATACAAAACTGTGCATTTTCAAGGTTTTATATACATATATGGAAATATAAAAGGTGCATGGAAAGGACATACAGTACACAAGAAACCACACAGTAGAAAGAAAGAAAGAAAGAAAGAAAGAAAGAAAGAAAGAAAGAAAGAAAGAAAGAAAGAAAGAAAGAAAAAAAAAAAAGAAAGAAACATTTTCAGGTATCCATGACGATTCTATGCCTGAACTTCAATTCTGAGCAGGCGAGATTTGTAAAAACAAAACAAAACAAACAAGCAGGTGGTTTTGTAGGAATTGGCAGCAGATTTAGTGTTAGCACAGTTTAATCAAGGTACTTAGAAAGAAAGACTTGAGGCTGTTCCTAATTCAAAGAGAAGGAACAAGGAGTAAAGATGTTTGTTGTAGAACTGTGTTCTGGGGGAAGGCTGAAGACAATGGGAGTTGAGGATCTGAGTGAAATGTTTATTCTGGTCAGGGAGCAAGGCTCTGTTTTCCTTAGCAGAAACAAAGGAATTGAGAAAGAGTGAAGATAAACGAATATTTTAAGACAAAGGCAGGGTAGTGGAAACAGCTT